CTTACCCCCACCCCAATGCCAGCCTCATTCTACAACAGTGGCACCATATAGCATTTGTCCCTTTGTGACTGAGATACCTCACTCAGCATAATGTCCTCCGCACCTGGACTTTTAAACACAATTTTTTTTTTTTACAGAGTGCTCTGTAAAACTACAAATGGATGACAAGTATGCCTCTGATTACCTTCTTTACTGGGTCCTTGCCCCAGGCAGACAGAGAACGGGAGGGCTGGAGAGGTCTAGACGTGGGGTGGTTCGAGGGTAGGAGTTGCATGGTGATCATACACAAAGTATGTATTGAGCTGGAAGAAAGATCACAGCTAAATCATCTCTATGACTTTCTCTCTGTGTTTTAAATACTAGAAGTTGAAGCACCAAAGGTTGATGGGCAAAGAACCAGTCATTAAAAGAACCGGTGGAAGACAAGTTACGAGGTCATCTGTGAGGCTGGGCCGGCTGAACGCACGCGGACTCCGGACCAACATTAAGCAGCACACAGCCCTCCTCGCTCCTCCGCTTGCACTATCTCCCGAGGCGCCTGCCCTGCGGTAAGGGACGCCACCTCTGCAGGGCTGGTCGGCGGCGAGGTGGGAGGCAGGATGGAGGGCGGGAGCCGAGGCCAAAGGGGCGGACACTGGGTGGTGTCTTGCTCTCTATAAAGGGGCCATAAGAGACAGATTTTCTCAGCTTGAGTGGTGGTGACCGTCGAGGAGCACAGCAAAATGCCAGTTGGGTGTCTGGAGACCCCGGTGCTGGCCGGCAGCGCCTGTTTGGCTGTCCTAGGGGCACTGGTCCTGTACAAAGGGGAGCCCGCGGGCTACGGGAAGTATTTGGAGAGTCTGATGCCTGCCAGTGTCCGCCTGTCGGCCGGTGCTGCTTGGTTCCTGCAGGAGCTGCCCGCCTTTGCGGTGCCCCTGGCCATCCTCATTCAGCAGTCCTCCTTCTCTTTCGGCACGCCCGGGACCATGCTCTTGGGCCTGTTCTGCGTACATTACTTCCACAGGTAGAGCGTTTTCTCCCCCGGGCGGAGTGAAGCGCGCGGGGGCTCGGAGTACCTTCGTCCTGGAGCGCCGGGCGCACACTGCGAGCGCAGAGCGCACAGTGCCGCCGGTGGTCAGGAGCGCGGCTTAGGCGCTCCCTGGGGCTGCTGGCAGGCATGGAGGTGGGGACCCCAAGTGGGCAAGTCAGGATGCCACAGGTAGAATGCCACCTCCACTCCTCCGGTCCCGCGTACCTCCTTGGCGAGCTCCAAGCTTTCCGCTAGTGGGGAAGCTTGCAAACCGGAGCTGGAGGCGAGTGGCAAAATTCAGGTTGCGCCGGGCTTCAGTGGGGATGGACCTGCGGCATCTCACGTGCGCACCTTCTTTTTCTTCTCTCGCCTTTCCATTGCTGGGTGGGGGCCCCCGGCAGATTCCAGGATCTTGGGGAAGTCCGAGTGTGGGCACTTAATGGTGGAAGCTCGATTTAGAGAGAGGAAGTGATCAGTTGAATCCTTGTGGACCCAAAGAAGGAGGTGAGAAAAGTCTAGACCAGAGTGTTAAACGGAGGGATAGAGAGGAGGGCGTGATGGGAACCCCCCCTGCTCTTACCTCCACCCCAAGCGAGGGCATCTTTTCTTAGCGCCCACTAAGAGGTAGGAGTCATCACCAATTCATCTACTTTTCCAGGTCCCCTGAATTTTTGGAGGGGGTCAAAGTTAACTTAGAACTCAGTGTTCTTCTAAATTAAGGAGAAATACAGGAGAATAATGTCTTCTGTTCTGTGAAGCAAAAGCAGGGGACTGGAGGGCAATACCAGGTAATATTAGGATTTGTAGGATGATAGCAGAACCCAGAAAAGAGTCCAGGGAGGCAGTGGAGATAAGAGCTTTCAGCAAATTGGCTAAAGGTTCATTAGCATCTATTGTCTCATTTAGCTCCTTTTTAACCTTGCAAACGATGTGTAGATTATCTGTCCCTGCTTGCTTTATAGGCAAAACAAATGACATCAAATAAGGTTAAATGACTGAAGTGGATACAGCTCGTCAGTTCTCAGCGATATTAAAATCTAAGGCTGTGAAACTCCAAGATTAAAAGCTTTCCCTTTATCCTAAGCAGGCGCAGTGCCTGCTACTAGGGACTTGAGCGTAACCGAGATCCTGAGGAGGGCGCAGGGGAGAGCAAGCTTTCCATCTGTTCTCACAAAGTCGTTATGAGGCGTGGTGGACTGGAGGGTACCACCAAGCAGACATATTTTCTGTAGAGCGAGAGAACCATCAATTGAAAGAGAAAAGTTACCAAAACCAAACAGAAGTTCAACAGAAGCAGGGTCTTATTTTGAGGACCGTCAAGTGATTAAGAAACCTTAGGTTAAAAGTTAAGATAAAGACTGCCTGAAGGGATTGAAAGACATATTTCTACCATCCGCCCCGCCCTCCATCAGGGAAATCCAATACCACATTTTGGGAGTGTGTCAGAGGCGAATCTCAACCTATCTGTCCCTGATCAAGGAGCTGGTGCAGCTGTTCTGTGGTGGAAAGAAGCTGCAGTCAGCTTTCTTGCTCTTTCCAGGGTTGCTATGAACCTGACTCCTCAGGCAATTGGTTTCCCTGATCACTTTTTATCAAGATGATCTTTATGATCCAGACGGTAAAGGGGGTTTAACATTATGCAATCTTAACAAAATTAATATTTTTCATGATAAATATTGGTAAGCAATAAGAACTAAAATGTTAGAACTGCATGTCTTGTCAACAGATATTTCCTGAAAACCAGTTTTGGCCACGATGCAAGACTGGTTATCAGTCACTTTGTTTTAGTCAGATTTAGATGGTGTAATTGCACAGAAAGAAGACTCCTGAGTGCAGTAGAAGCGATCAGCTTTTGTTTTCACTGTTGTTGGAAGAGATGTTTGGCAGGAAAATATGATTGCATCAATTCCTTTTATTTTCAAATGAACTACTGTGTGTTAGCACTATAAACTATATTTTTACGAGGTCATTTTATCTTAAAGTGTTTTCTGAGAATCGTATTAACATAGTTGTTAGACTTGTTTTTACAACCAAAAGTACTTTTTTTTTTTCCACAATAAATTATGACTGGTACATTCAGAAATCACTCGTAAAGTGAACATGCTGCCTATCTTGAGGGGAATATGAAAAAAGTATTAATAAAAATTATTGAGATTGATTCTGCCTCTGGAAAATTTGCCTCCAGAGAGCACAGCTTGGAGTTACTTGTTCCTGAGGCTTCAGGGCTTGATGTTTCTCTCCCCTCTTCTTGATTCTCTTTCTTTGAGGCCCTGGAGTATTGGATATGCTTAAAGTGCTTAAGTGTTAAACACTTATCAAGTTTAACACTTATCAGAGCTAAACACTACTGAATTACCTACTAATGCTCATACTAGTCCAGTTAGTAGGGGTTTTTCTCTCTCTCATTTTACAGGTGAGGATAGGTCAAGGGAAGGTTGAATAACTTGCCCAAGTTCAGGGAGGGAGAGAGTTGTGGAGCCAAGATTTTAAGCAGGCAGTATGCACTCAGAACTCAGGCTCTTTGCCATGATGACACATGGCATTCTACTTATTCTTGCTACTTCTTCTCTGTCCCTTAAAAACTATTTCAGGCTGAAAATGATTTTTCATTCTAAAAATAATGCATGTTTACTAAAGAAGAAATGAAAACTACAAACTTGGGAAAATACACATCGTTTCAATGCCTAAATATATCAGCTGTTAATGTTTTAGAAAATTTTCATCAAGTTTTTAAACTTTTTATTCTCTCAGAAGCTTGTACGTGCTTGTTAGGTAGAAGGAGACCTTGTGGCATAGTTTGTAATGCACTGGTCTGTTGGTTGAAAGCTCATCAATTCCAATCCACCAACTGCTACTAAGCAGTGTTTTTCTATGGAGATTGGCAACAAATGGTAGGTGACTATGAGTCAGAATGGGCTCAGTGGCCGTGAATTAGTGAGTTATATAGAATCTGTAACATTTTTTTTCTGCTTAGTTGTTGCTAAGTACGGTGCCCATGGTCACCCCATGCACGATGGAACAGAATTATTACCTGGTAGTGTACCATCCCTGTGAGCAGTTGCAGATTGCATTGTCATGATCTGCAAAAGCTTTGCTGGTTGATTTTTTTGAATAGCAGATTGACGGGTCTTTCTCTTGAGACCCTGTTAGCCTGGGACCTCCACTGAAATCTCTCCAGCATCGTAACACATGCGAAGCACCACTGACAGAGGAGTGCTGACTGAGTACGGAGGGTGTTGGCTGAGAAACAAACCCAGGGCTCCTGCATGGAACTTACCTATCATTATGTCATAAATATTTAGCCACTATATCATATAATTTTTGTGTATATAGTATTGTTTGTTGTTGTTAGGTGCTGTTGAGTCAGCTTCAACTCATAGCGACCCCATGAACAATAGCTCTGAACCGTGTATTATCCTGAGCCAATTTCACTGTCTTTGACACACCTGGCCACATTACCCCAGTTACTGTGTCAATCCATCTCATCGTATTAATGGCTATTTATTACTATATAATGTTGCTTACTATTTAATTTTGATGGCTGTATTGCCATCCGAAAGGCACATGGTACAAATCTACCTGATGTTCAGCAGGAGATAGATAGAAAATCTCCTCCTAGGTAATTTAATAGCCTCTAAAAACTTACTGGAGTGTCAATTATGAGTTGGTTCTGACTAGATGGCATATAGCAATATTATTTCATCTTAGGTTGTTGTTATGTGTTATTGAGTTGCTTGCAACTCATAGTGACCCTATGTACAACAGCCCTAAACCCTGCTCTATGATACTGTGTCAATCTTATTGTCTCTGACATACCTATCCCCATTACCCCAGTCACTCAATTCATCTCATTGAGGATCTTCCTCTCTTCCACTGTCCCTTCACCCTACCAAGCATGACGTCACTGTCCATGGACTGGTTCTGCCTTGCAACATGTCCAAAGTATGTCAGATGAAGCTTTAGAATCCTTGCCTCCAAGCACTAGCCTCCTTTCACTCTCTCTAGGATGAACTTGTTTGTTCTCTTAACAGTCCATGGTATATTCAATACTCTTCTCCAGCACCACAGCGCAAAGGCATCAATTCTCCTTCTGTCATTCCTAGTCATTATCCAGCTCTCTGATGCATAGCAAGTAATTGTGAAGACCATGACCTGGATCAGGCGTACCTTAGTCCCAGACTAACTTAATATAGTTTACTTTCCCATTAATTTATACTTAGTGTTTCAGTTTGTTTTCATTTATTTATTTGGCCAGTTTAAATAAAACCATGATGCTCACTTTTGAACCTAAATTCTCTTCAGAAGTTAAGGATAATTTCTTTATCAAAATTTTAAGGAGTGGATCAAAGTTACCTCAATGTAGGCAGAATTAATTAACTAATTAATTAAATAAGCCATTATCAATATAGAGCAGAATTAATGGTAGGATCTAAAAGCAATCATGGGGATGATGCAGGACTGGGCAACATTAGTTCCACTGGACACGAGTTTGCCAGGGGTTTGGGGCTGAATCCATCGAGGCTGAAAGCCACAGAGATTAGTTAGGACTCATTGTTGCTGAGGTTGCATGGCTAGGTCATCTCGGATGATTGGCTTCCCTTCAGAATCTATTGTGGATGTTTGAATTGTTCAGCCACCTGAAAATGCTGCCTAAGCATATTGCCTAATCCTATTGCCAACATTGTTTAAAGTCAGACTTTTCCCACTTCTTATTGACTTTGGCCAGTTTGAAATGATCCTCTTGCCACGCTTATTGATCTTTGGCTTTCATGAAGGCGTAATGCTCCCTCTATACAATGGTCATGACATTACCAATGACTGAGGATGCCAGGGTCTTTTTTCAAGACTTTTGTATAATCTTGAAAATGGGATTAAAAAAGAAATATATTTTGGGGTGGAGAGAAGCAACTATCATGAAAAGATGCATTCAGAAAGAGAATAATGCACACATTAGAATCTGGCTGAACTTAGAACACCTTTCCTGGGTTTTAAAT